GGATGGCAGTTTTTGGAAGCAAAATAAAAGAATTTTGTTATTTAAGGCAGTTTCGGAAATATATAGGTGCAGTATGATTTTCCTGAAACCTAAAAAAATTTATGTGATATGACGCATGTTTTCAAAACGAGTTAGTTCGCTTGAAACAAAATTCTCCTATAATGCTTGTTTTGAATTCTCGTCGCAATGAAATCTGTTTTTTAGCTATCATTAGGGTTTTAAAACTTACTTTTCCGATAAAACATATAATGGTGTTTCATTTCATAAGCTGAATTTTTTTTAAACTGTACTTGAGAGTGCACATCAAAGCATATTCAATATGGTAACAGATGTAAATAGAGAAAAACACTCTCCCAAGCATTTTCGAAACAATTTCCTCATACCTGCAATGAAAAATCATTTTAGACAAGCCTACCAGGAACAAATAACCGAAATACACTAGAAAGAGCTTGCGAACTAATTCTATAATGAAAAATGATCTGAAAACTGATCTTCAATTCAACTGAAATTTTGAAATCTACTGTTATCCAAATTGCAACCAACGAAGAAGCATGAATGAAGTATTAGAGAGTTTTCTAATAGCTGCAACGCATTCCTAGGCTAATTAACAGGGGGCGGAGCGACCAGCGCACCGCGTACGGTACCCAGCTGGCGGCTGGCACATGCTATCGTTCATCTTGACAGCCACCCGAAAAAAAACTATCACACTTCTGTGGTAACGAGGAAGAGTTTTCCGAATTCTGGGAGACTCACATCACTTTAGTGGATCAACTGCTTGGCGCAACTAATATAGTAAGATCGCAATGTGCGATTTTACTGTGTAGAAAAGGCGCTGCTGGTCCTCTCTCTTGCCACATTAGAGCGCTCCTGCCCTGTTATTGCCCAGAATAACGTGTTAATCATGTTAAACATACAGGATCAAGATTTATAACCAGAAAATTGTTCCAGATATCAAACAACATGTTTACCGTCGTCTCCGAGCCTTTTAGTCCAACTTCTCATCGTCATCATTTCATCGCTCACAATGTTCACCTGTGTTTCATTCTTCTCCTTCCTCTTCCTCTTCGACTTCTTCTTCTTCTTTCTCTTGTTTACTTCATTCTCGTTCTACCCCGACCTCTCCTCTAAAACTGCTATAGCTCTGAATGTAACATCTCCAAATATTACTTATTCTCCTAAAACCCTTTTCGCTGTACCCGCGCATACGATCCAACTCGATTGTACTTTTGTACCCTTTTACTTACCTTCCCAAGTTAGCAACTCTAGCAGTACCATAACTTCTCTGGGAGGCTCAAATCCCTCCATAATAGCCACAAATATGGAAGCAGCTTCTCAAAACTTTGCTTTTTTGAACTCTGACTCCTTACCACACCCAAACCGCTTCGGAGAAAAAATCTACGCATTTGCAAACATCCACAACCACGTCGTTGGGAGAAACCCTCTGGAGGCATCCCAAGCTCAATCAAATTCCTGTCTCTCTCCTGGCCCTCGCCAACTTGATTTACGCCCTTTCCAAAATACACCAATACCGCGCACCCACACAGCTACGGAGCTACGGGCTGCATAAGATTCTTCTGTGCCTTCTCCGTCGCCAACACACTCATCGTACGCGATACTGTCAACCACTCACTCCTTTCTGCGTACAAGAGCCCGTATCCTTCCTCAAGGATACAAGCTCTGTCCTCGCTGTCTCGAGAGCCATCGCTTGGACGAAGAACCCAACTTGCATTTGATGCAATGCCATCGGCCACATTACCGCCGATTGCCAAGACGCATCTGTCAAATTTTTTTATTCCGGGGACCGGGACTTTCCAAAAGAAATTTATGTAGAAAGAGCGCGATTATGTACGATTGGTCCGCCTTCCCTTGCGCCTCATCAGGGCTATAAAAAATAAAACGCCCCTTTGGCAGTTTCCGCCATAATCTTCATGCCTGATCCATGTTTGATAGACGGTCTGTGAGAAAATCTTATTCCGACATACCGCATGCCAATCATGAGAGTATAAAGTAGGCTTTTACTGGAAAAGTTCAGTCACCGTACCACTCATGCCCACTTCAGCTTAACGACATCATCCAACTTGAATCGTTATACTGGAGCGGATCGCTAACTTCCCCCATGTATATTCTTCCTATCGGAGTAGAATAGGGACGAACATGCATCATCCTGATGTCGCTATATCTAGATCTGATGGCTCGGGCTACGCAGATAGCGGCCATCGCAAGAAAGGTGCCCTAAGGTACGGCACGGCACCAGATGTGCCCGTTTTGCGGACGGGAACATAACGCGCTCCTCTGCCCGAATCGGCACAAATTAGCCCGCACCCGTACCGCAAGCGGAGAAATCTTTTTAAAAAAATCGCTTTAAAAGCAGTGGCTCGGCAAAACTCAACAACTCAAAATTTTAACGCGATAAACTCCTTATTGCCCAAGTATGGAAACAGTGCAATCCCGATTGCACAGCATGCCTTCCTTGCCGAGAAAATTCCTCTCAAACTTACACGCGCAGGCCATTCTTACACGCATCTGGACGAGTTGGCAATTTCCTTCTCACCACTGGAGACTGCCCGCCGCAATGCTATAACCATTGGGTCCTGCAACGATTCGGCGTCATCAGCCTTGCAGCACTCGTCCAGTTTCAAAGGGAAGGGCATTGAAAAACGCTCGTTTTCGGCATTTTCAAGCTCTTAAAAGTGGATTTTCGGAATCAGCGTATTGAATAACCCAGGTAAGCGAAGATTTGACTATGTTGAGATTTGCCGAGCCACTGCCTTTAATTCCTCCAATCCACCATGATTTGTTCCACTACGCCATCTCGAGCCACTACGGCATCGTTGTTCTCAGCCACTTCACCGCCACGTGTTCAAGCCATGGCCAAATTACTCAAGCGGCTGCAGCCACCAACTCGAGGCGCTGCCACTCGCCATTCTATGTCACCACCCGACACCACTACGCCGCCACGCCACCCTCAAGCAGCCGTGCCAAGCCGAAAACGTTTTTGTTGTTTTTTCGCCCCTCTTGCCCCAGGTAGTTTCGTTGTATGGCGGGCTTTCCAGCTTACTGTCCGACAACCCTGGCGGAGCCTTCGAAATATGGCGCCGTTTTTTGGTATGAAAACCGAGAAGGGGGAGAGGGTAAACAAGCGGGGTTCACTTAATCCTTTTGTGATATCATTTTATTGCTGATAAACTTTCTACCGACCCATTCTTGTAACACCCTTCCTGCCCACGGCAGTGTTATTAGTGACCTTTCTAGCTCACTATACGATGATCTTCTCGAGCCGTAAAAATTTTTGGACCTAGTTTGATTACGAAAACAGGCTGAGTGAATTGAGGAGGCGGAAATGTTCTTTTTTCGCACCATATTTGCCTGGTCGGACGTGTCTGACATTTGCTGTTCGTATATGCTGATAACAGTGGCGGTCCCAGGATTTCGGACCGGAGGGGGGGCGGGGAAAATTTTTTTTTCGAATGAAGGTGCGTGGCGTTAGCCACGCACTCCGAAAAAATTTTAGGAGTACTTCTCAAAATTTTTGCGTCCCCAACCCCTAAAATCGGAAAAAGGGGGCGTGGCATCAGCCATGCCCCCGAAAAAAAATTTTTTATAAGGCTAATTTGAATTTTTAAAAAATTTCAAAAATTATTTTAATTATTTACAAAAATAAACAAGTCGTTTGCACATTTTTATAATCCATATAGGTAAGTTTCAAAAATTTCGCGACCCATTCTCGGGGAGGGGGGGGGGGGGCGCGCGCCCCCCGCCCCCCCCCCCCCGCCCCCCCCCCCGCTCCCCTCGAACCGCCACTTGCTGTAAACTTCCTTACAAACCTTTTTGTAACACTAGGTACGATAACCTTCAAGTGGCGATAAAAGCATGACCTCTTGTTTTCTATATAAGCCGTGGAGGGAGGACCGAGTGCGGAAAGTCGAATCCATTGTTGTTCTTGTCACTGAGTATATCCTATCCTCCTCCATTATGTCTCACAGGGGTCAAAATAGCTGTAAGAAGCTTCAGTCTCTCGATCACTAAGACGTGTTGTTTTGGAAAATTGCCTCAGTAGTGGCACAATTCTGATGCATTGGGAGTCCAGTACTCGACTAGCAGCAATGGAGCACGTTTTTGAATTTCTTAGACAGATCCGTTACCAAAAAAGTTGTTCGTCTTCTGTATCCTACAATAGAATTTGGATAGTTTGTGCGGTGTCTGTATTCAATTCAACTCTACATTCACTCAAGAACTAAAGCATAGCTGACTATTTCTGTGCAGGCAAAGTAGTGCACTTGGAGACATCTTCTACGTCGCGGCTATCATATGAAGCCATCTTTGATAAGGATTATAATATGTAAACATTCTTTAGTGCACGGTCAATGTTTCGGTTTGTAAGTTATGTGAGAAATACTGTGTTAATTCTGTCGAGCGTATACTCTTCGTCAGGCGAATAGTTGCTACTTTTTTGGATTGTTAATTTGGTCGTATGTTAGTTGACTAAGAAAAACAGTTATTTCCATAAACTTTTACTCTCCGGGGTTAGTGTATCTCCAAGGGCGTAAAGGTTTAGCTAGTGTGATGCGCAGTTGTTGCTAGCCAAAGAGTCAAGAGCTCTTCAGCTATGTAAGCCGCATGGGCACTAGTGCTGGTAGTTTCATTGGTCTGGTAATGGTAATGCGCGAGCGAGTCCTTACTTTGTAAATTTATAAAAAGAATGGCGATTACAATGTATTAATACAGTGGTCCCGGACTCAGTGATTAGGTCACGCTTAACTAATAGTATGGTGAACCGCGGTAGGTCACAGCTGTTGGTGGAGATAGTCCTTGAAGGGCTGCCAAAATGACGTTGATGCTGTTCCTGTTCGTCACACACATAACGAGATAATAACATTAAGCAAGTACGTAACATCAACAAAAAATTTAATCTATTAATTGTCACGCACATCATCATAATGCTGTTGCGAATTTTTTGTAGTGCTTATAGACACGCATAATCGACGTAACGAAGAATGAGGTTAATGATATAAGTCCGGTTCATCGATAATTTCGTCATCGTCGAATGTCAGTTGTGAGGTTGTTTCAAATAATACGCTCTTTGTATCTCCCCATTTGATCTGAATGTTGTTTGGCATTTTATCTTAGTAAATTCTTGCTGCTACAAACACAGAAATTTTTTCTGAAGGCATACAAAAATATTGCAACTAAAATGAATCTAACTGCGTCTGCAGTGTTATGGATTTGACAAAAGAATACCTTATCAGTCCAAAAAATACAAAAATAGCCTATCAAGCTGATCCTCCCAAAACTACACTATCAGTCACTAACTTATGAAAATTAATGTTTTCTTACAATAAAAAGCACTTTTACTTGATTTATTTTTTCATGCTGAAGAGAAAGATGCCCGTAAATGGTTTGCTATGAATTTCGAATTATAGAATCTGAACAGAAAAGCTATGCAAATTTTATTACAAGTCCCTTGTATAGACACGAGAATAGTTTCAAAACTAAAACACAATTAAAAAAATGTTCACTTGTTTCTTGCGTTTTCATTGGCAAGTTATTTTTCTCAAAACGGAGTTGCTTGGAAATGTGTGCTTTTCTGTCCGTGTAATAAACTCAACCTGAGTACTCACCGCTGGTGCAGGTTTGGAGGTAGCCAACGCCTTTGTTTGCTGCTGTCCTTTTTCGTGCTCAGAGTTACGATCAGACTGCATTGCTTCTTCCAGTTCCATGATTTCATCCTTTGTTTTTACACGGAACTAAATAATTTTTGAAGATTTGATATTACAGGAGGTTGACAAAGAAATTGCCAAATACTTGCCGTGCTCTGATCTATGTTTCCTTTCATTTTTACAAGTCCAGGATGAATTACTACATTTTCAGCGGCTGCTCTGAGTATATAGTCGTTCAGACTAACCTGGAAATGCTGGCAATGAATTATCAATGACCGTCTAATGCAAAAACTTAACCGCTTCGGATAATTGAGTGGGTTCTACGTTTTCTGTTGAGGCATTCCTGAATATACTTCTAATAAGGTCAGCTACCATGAGATAGGGTATTTCCTTTTATGTCAATGTGATCAGTGACGGACTGTAAGGTTGTGGGGGGAGGGGGAGGGGGGGGGATTTTGCATGATTGGTAATTGGTCGCATATATTCCAAAGTTGTGCGCGTTGTTTTACTTGTGAACAGTTGGAACAAGTTTCCGTTTTAGGGGAATCAAATCTAGACTGTTAGAATTTGTTTTGCTACGATGCCAGGCGCTTAAGAAACTCGCGCAGGGTGTATATGGATACTGTTGCGCGAAACGGCCGTCTTCCCGTTTAGTTTCTCTTCACATGGATTTCAAATGAAAAGCTCAATTTTAGCTGTAAGAATGAGAGAAACTTCCAGGATGACTTTATGTAAACTTTTCAGTATTTGTTAACTCACGCCATTCCTCGCGCGACTGCAGATTCGGAGTCCAGCTCGCTACGTTGTGTCGGCATTTCCACGAGCACCAACTTCGCTTCCTTTTCGCCTCGACTCCTAGCATTCAAACTGTCAGTGATGCCTAACACAGCAATTTGCCTTCCTCCTCTTTCTTTTGATAAGTCATCTCCAGAGCTGACGTTTGTCTTCGAATCTAACTGAAATGGAATAATAAAAGAACATTTTTCCATTTTTGCACTGGATGCGGAATGTAGGGAGTTTTCGGATTTGTTTAAATTAGCAAGTTATGGGGCAAGCGCGAGCGCAGTCGTAATGGTTTTATTGTTACATACATAGTTGAAGTATCTAGAATTTACTACAGCTACGTCTAAACACGTCTTTTGATGCATACTGGATCTGGATCGCTTGCATTGGAGGAAATGATTGGTTGTTGAGTCTAATCTTCTGCAACAATCCAACGAATTTAGCAATTGTTATAAAGTCAAGGTGAACTGATGCAGTATGATTAGGTTAATTCATAAATCCTGTGTCGGATTACTTCATAACCGCAGTAAGTCATACTTCTCCTGCATTCTAGATGGGTTGCGTAATACCGCTCGACACGGCAAAGAAGATCTACTAGTTTCTGTCTGAAGAGATACACGCAATCTTTGGAGCTCAGACAATTCACCGGAACTTCCGCAGGACAAGCAGAACTTGCAGCGTTTCCGCAGCACTTTCTTAACCATTGAGAAAGTGCACGCTCCAAAATGCGAGGTTTCCGCAGGAAATTGACGTCACAGCGATCGGAAACCGGAACTTCCGCAGCACTTTCCATAAAGCGCTGCGAAAGTGCAGTGAGGCTCGTAAGGTTTCCGCAGCACTTTGACCCGCCAGCATTTCCGCAGGACTTTGAGAGCGCATGCACTTGCGATTGCGAAATAGCAAACGCAACATCAACAGCGCATAGCGCACTCTTTTCTTCCATACTGTTTCGCTTCTGTTCCTCCTCTTTTCTTTCTCCTTTTTCTTCCATTCTTCAATGTTGGCGTTAATAAACCTGTACTCATTCATATTCTAAGTATTCTTTCAGGCATCGGTGCAGATGTGTGAACAACCATCACCAAGCTGCTGGAGTGCTGGAAAAAGACTCAGCGGAGGGTCTTCGTTCAAGCACAACGCCCTTGTTCAGGTATGTCGAATTTCTTTGCTTTATGTGCGATTGAAATAATAACGCAAGCAATTTAAAACTATCACTTTGTAGAAAATATGCACTGGTTCTAAATAAAGCAGAAGTGATTAGGTAGAAGTATATCAAAACGAAAGGGGAAGGGGAGAATAATGGGTCACCGATATTTTCAAAATGTATAAGCTCTTGGCGAATATTGAAAAATTTTGAAAGCAGTTTCAAAGTATTAGGTGAGACCAAAAGTACGTTCGCCAGTTTTTCAAAAGATCGTAACTCTCTTTCGACTCGATGGATCTCTATGCGTTTATATTTATTTGAGAGAGAAAATCATTTTCTTTACAAAGGTATTTCTAAAATGAACTGGCTTAGAAAAGTTCGCGAATTAGAAGCAATCAAAGAAAATTACTTAAAATTGGCATTTTTCAAGCAAGGTCACCAAAAAAATTCTGAAAGTATTCTTCGATAGAGAAAGCTATGTTACTACAGTGCATTTTTCAAAAACAAAAAAGATTGAGAATTAGAAGCAAATAAAGAGAATTGCTTCAGTTTTGCGTCGGGAGGGATGGGAAAGTCATGTGAACATGGGTTTAGTGGCCTTCTCTTTTTAAATGAAAGAAATTCGTGTTAATCGAGAGCGATTTTGATTTTCGTAATATTACCGAGTTTTCGAATCTGATTTTCTACGAAAATCAAAATTGCTTTCGATTGGCACAAATTTCTCTCAGCTAGAAAGAGGTCACAAAAACCATGTTCATAAATATCCCCTCTTTTCTGTGACGTTTTTGGGCATTTTTGAGCATGCTCAAAAATTGCAAAACTGTAGTAATTCTATTTATTTGCTTCTAATCCTCAGTCTTTTTCATTTTTGGAAAAGGCACTTTAGTAAAAAAACATAATTTTTTCTATCGAAAAATACTTCCAGAATTTTTTGGTGACCTTGCTTGAAAAATGCCAATTTTGAGTAATTTTCTTTAATTGCTTCTAACTCGCGAACTTTCTTAACCAATTCATTTCAGAGATACCGTTGTAAAGGAAATGATTTTCTCTCTCAGAAGTATAAAATCAAAGAGATCTATCGAGTCGAAAGGAAATTATGATTTTTTTGAAAAACTGACGAACGTACTTTTGGTCCCACCTAATAGTTGTGGACAATTTTCGAAGAAGCTGTGCTAAAAAAATCGAGGTGGTACAAAAATTGTAACCGCAAAAATTCAACTATTCCTGAAATTTCTTTTGCTGGAAGTGGCCACACGCACACAAACTCAAAATCTTCAATTCCTCCCTCCCCTCCCTTAAATAAATTTCTCGCGCCGCCACTGCTTTTCGTGTGTCTATCCTTTTCTACGTCTGCTTTTGATTTTCAAATCTTTTCCCTCTCACAATACCGCACACATAAAATAATAATTTTTGATTCAAAGATAAATAATTCGAAACTTACGATTTAAAATAATAGCTCGAGAAGTTCGAAATTTTAATTTTCAAATAATAGTGTTGAATGATTGAATAAAATAGAAATTAATGTGGTAGGAATATATTAGGCGGGGCATAATCGGTCCCAAGAATATTCCTAGTAGTCTGCGACTGGAGGTAATGAAAGATCAAAGCTCTTCTAAACTCTAAAGTAGTTTGTCTATGCAATTTTTGAAGGTGTGGCTCACTCCACACCCCCCCCCCCCCCCTTTTGTGCTAAAAAAATCGAAGGCGTACAAAAACTGGAACCACGAAAATCTAACCGTTCCTAAATTTCCCTTTGTATTTGGGTTTGGTGGCCCACGCCCACAAACCCGAATAATTTTTTGTCCCCCCCCCCCCTTGGAAAGGTTTCTTGCGCCGTTACTGCTTTAATTCTATCCTTCTCTGCTGCTCTGTTTTTGCTTTTTTAATGCTTTTCTCTCTTTCAAATACTTCCTACATCTTCAACGTATCTGCACATGTTTATTCGAATTCTAGTACCTACCTGAAGTACCCTTCAATGGAAGCTAGTTCCAGAGATAGAAGCCCGAGAAGAAAATTACTCCATTCTCAAAATTTCTGCATTTGGTCGCAATACTGAATCTCCAGGGCCTTGAAGTAATGCTATCTTAGGTACACAGTTCAGTGGGGGGGGATCTTATTGAGACAGCAATTAGAGGGGAGGGGAGGTCGTAACCAGTGATCGTGTGCCACACCTCTTGCTTGACCCTGATCATAACTTCCTAAAAGACGTTCAATCAACGCAATCTTTGTACACTCAAAAAGAGTAGGTAATAGTAGCTATGATACCGATCGCCCCGATTTTCTGCAAGCAGTTTTTTGCAAACCAAACATGGGGAATATTAGAATGGAGTAATTTTCTTCACCGACTTTGATCTCTGGAGCTATCAAAAAGTGCCTCAGGTACCATTAGAAAGAGCATATCTTCCTTCAGAATAAACATGTGCAGATCGGATGTGAAGGAAGAAAGTTTCGAATTTCTGGAAAGGATGGGGACGAGCTTTTGGTTCAATAGTATTATTTTCTAAGTATTAATTTATGAAAATTCAACAATAATTTATAATAACTTTCACTAACGCCCTGCCTTAGAGTCTGACATGTACCTGTTTTGTGTGGAGAATGCTGGAATATTAGATTGAAACAAAAGTTCTGCCTCTTCAAATCTGAAAATTTCTAAAAAATTCAAGTCGAAGTAAAGCCATGATTTTTGCAGAAAACTTTTGTAATTTTCAAATCTGCTCAGAGCTTCTCTTGTTGAGATTTCGAAATTTTACAAAATTTCAAATGAATCGTCCAAATTTGCTTCGTATTTCTTGGCGAAGAAGTTGCAAAATGGAACACTTGCGGCAAGGCACGATTTACATCAAGAAATTTCAATAATTCTCATCACAGAAAGGAAGGGAGGCCTTCAGTCGCGCGGACAAGGTCAAAATGACACCCGATAAGTGGAAACGGTTTATTTCCTCACAGGACCATCTTCCCTTTGATGCGCATATTATCCTTTGTAAATGAGATTGTTATTCTTGTTTTTATTCTATTCTTCCATAATTCTTTACTCTTCCATCAGTATAACATTGCTTTTTTATTCTTAATATCTGCCGATTTTTTTTCAACCTTATTCGGTTATGCATATATACTCGAATGCTTCTGTGATTTTATGTATTAGGTTGTTACATAAGTCTTGTTACACTTAACTTCTAACAGCAATAAGTCATACACCTCATAGTCTTTGCAGGACTCCAAGGTACCATTCGATAGAGCAAAGCAAGCTTTACAAGACGGTCTGCAAAAGTTCGCACCAGCTCCGACCCACCATAAGTTTGCACCCAAAATCTGAGTCGTACTGAAATTCAAAAAATCGCGAAAAATTCATATCTTTGTTCAAACAAATCCTACGGATCTCCAACTTGCTCACAAAAATTGCTCACTATATCAAATACTCAAATGTACCGTTGCTGTATTTTTTCCTCATTTAGAAATTGAAAAAAGGAAATTTTTTTTAGTTTTTACAAAAAATGAAGCTATGCTGTTTCTACTTTTGTAGTTGTATACTGCAAGCACTTAGAAGTATAACCGTATATTTTCAGCTTTCCGGAAGATACAGTTTTCGAAAAATACCGAATTTAGCTTTTTATCACTCGGGTGTTCAATGCTAAATTAGGTAATTTTCGAAAATTAGGGCTTCTAGGAAGCTGAAAATTTACGGTCATACTTCTAAGAGCTTGTAGTATACAGCTACATGAATAGAAACAGCATAGCTTCATTTTTGTAAAAACTAAAAAAAATTCTTTTTCTCGATTTCTAGATAAAGAAAAAATACAGCAACGGTACATATGAGTGTTTGATATAGTGGGCAATTTTTGTGAGCAAGTTGGAGATCCGTAGGATTTGTTTGAACAAAGATATGAATTTTTCGCGATTTTTTGAATTTTAGTACGACTCAGATTTTGGGTGCAAACTTACGGTGGGCCGGAGCTGGTGCGAACTTTTGCAGGCCATCTTGTAGAGCTTGCTTTGCTCTATCGAATGGTATCTTGGAGCCTTGCAAAAACTATGAGGTGTGTGACTTATTGCTGTTAGAAGTTAAGT